CAACCGAGCGCGGGAAGGGCGGACAACAGATCTGATACTTGTCCAGTCAACCTTCTCCTGCTACGGGACTTATTGGGACTTCTGGGACCCAAAGGCTCAAATCTTAGAGCAAACCCATCCCAACCCACTGGATATGTGCTACTGAAGAACTTGCCCTTGCATTAGACATAACCTCTCTCTTGAAAAGAGCTTGCACGGCCCCCGGGGAGCGGAAGCAGACGGCTTCCTCGGTGGCCAGCCTGGCTCACAAAACCCACCAGGCTTTTCAAGCTTTCGTTCTTGGAAACAGCATCCAGCTTTCTAAAGGCATGGGGTGGCCAAGCTTGCTCAGACATTGTTCACAAAGCAAATGAATCGTTTGAAGTTCCTCCCCAGGGAAACCCGTTTTTGGGGCCACAATTATTGTTTTTAAACACATGAAATCTCTTTACGCTTCTCCAAGCCTAGAAGAGAACCAGCAGTGGAACAAGCTTTGCAAAATTAAAGTCAGACCAGAAACAAAAATAAAACCAGAGAAACGCAACGAAATAAACAACATAAACATGGAAGAAAATGGAAAATACCAGCTGGTCGGCATGCTGCTTCTGCAGGACGTCCCGTTTGTAATCCTTTACGGATACCGAGCCGAGCTTGTCCTCGACCTCAGCCAGCCAGTTGAGCACTTCCACCTCCTCCTCCCCAAAGAGCCTGGCGTTAGACAGCGCCTGATCCAGCAGCGCTGCCTTCCGGCAGCACCGGTCGTGGACCTCGCCGTAGCGGGTCTGCAGAGAGTCTAGCTTCTCTGCCAGCAGCCTCCGCTCAGCGGCACAGCTCAGGGAGGAGAGGGACTGCCCGACACCGACCGCCCGAGACACGTCGGCCGCGTGGCTCTCTATCTCTTCCTCTAAAGCCTGAATGCCGGGAGGATAAAATGGACAACAGAAAGGAAAATGAGTGAAAAAATGGATAAAAAAAAACCAAAACAAAACATAAAAGGGGAAACAGAAACAACGAATGCAACTGAAGGAATGAAGGAGACACGAAACCCACCCGTGAACGGGCAAACTGCATCAAAATAAAAAAGGTTTAAAAGAAACACAAGAACAGGAACGGGTTTTCTATCCAGAGCCAGATACATTCGCTGTGAGGTGCAAAGACATCAGTTTAATATTTACCCACTCCGGTGGGTTAGGGTTTGCAGCCTTCTCTGTACATAAAGCAGCCTGGGTAACTCCTCCAGCGCTTGTTCGTGTCAAAAACCCCCTCGTCATGGCAGAAACAACCACCGGAGTGGGACCCGATACCAACCGCCTCCACCGGCAGCTCCCGTTCACGCACAGGTCCTACCTTGTGCCGACTGATCTGCTGCTGGATTTTGGCAGTCTGGGTACCGATGGGCTCCGAGTTGGCCAGTTTCTTCTCCGTCACCGACAGCCAGTCCGACACAGGCTCCGTGGTTTCGTGGAACTGCTTTGCCAGGACCAAGATGTCCTCCAGCTGCTTCTGCCTATAGGAAGGACATAACAAACCGCTAAGGAGCAGCTCCCTGTCGGAGCCGGGCATGGGAAGCAGCTCCGAGCGACGGGAAGAGGGAACCGAAGCAGCCCTGTTTGGTCCAAGGGCAATGGCAAAATAAGCTTTTTCCTGCAGCTGCACCTTTAGGGTCCAGTTCACCCCCCCATTGCGCTGCTTTTCTTCCATTCCTATCACTATCTTGGAGATCCTCCGACGTGCTCAGCTTGTGGCCGGGCTCTTGGTGTTTCAGAGCTGCTGAGCTTCAGTTCAAAGACAGCCCGGCACGGATGCAAGTTCTAGATGGACAGCCCATCTAGCTGGCAGTGATTTAAAACACTGGCAGGTCAAATCTGGCCCTCAGAAGTGACTTTATAACCTCAAATATTAGCTTATGTAGCAACAAGCAACTCATAAACGAGATTCAGGCAGCAGAAAGGTGTCAACAGGATGTTGCCACTAAAGCTAAATGTTAACGCTTAAAGGAATAAAAATAACATCCATCCCCTGCGGGGAATTTATTTAATCTGAGCTCTTCCCTGCCATTGTAAACCACCGCTATCAACTTCAGCTCCCCAAACAGGCTTTGATTTCTCATGTTTTCCAGCTGTTTCCATGTTTCCAGGATGTATCTGCACAGAAATCTCCGCCAGCTTCCCGCGTGCCGTAACCCCGAGCTCCGGGGCACCGTGAATTGCAGGACGAGCCGGCCCCGTGTTTTTGGCCGGCGGCACAGGCGCTCCCACCTGCCGGCCGCCCTGCCCAGCAGCCCTGCCCAGCGCCGCTCCAGGCTCTCCAGTTGGCCGACAATCTTCTCCCGATCCGCGGGCTCGGCTGACTGCGCGATCCTCCCTCCCTCCGCTTGGATCATCTCAACAGTGGCTTTGCGATCGTCCAGGAGTCGCTGGAGCAGCTTTAGCATCAGCAGTGAAAGGAAGGAGATAAAAGTTACCAGACTGGATCAGCAGAACCTCTTCTAGCCCCCAGAGACAGAAAATCTCTAATTGTGGCTGAAAACCACCGTAAGCACGGGGCTGAGACCAAAGCCAGCCTCTGCCGTCAAAACCAGTTAAAAAAAAAATAATAATGTAATAATACGCTTTAACTTTCGGTCAGCCCTGAAGTGGTCAGGCAGCTGGACCAGATGATCGCTGTAGGTCCCTTCCAACTGAAATATTCTATTCTGTTCTAAAGAGATGCAAAGCACTTCTGTGCCAGAGAAGCTTTCAGAGGCTTCCCCATCACCCCCCCCAAACTTATCAAGACCAGGTTTTTAACTTTCACTTTAAATAAATTTCCTCTTCAAAGCCTCCATGCGTCAGACCAAGCCTCCGTAAGAATTTATTTCTAAAACGTTTTACCACGACCACACTTGAACTTTCATCCGCCTGCTCACAAGGGCAGGCGCCGACCCAGGCTGTTATCTCTGCAAACACCGGCACGCCTCGGGTCGGTTCTTACAGTTTGTACATTCATTTTGTCCAAATACCCAAACCAGTACCTACAACACCAGCTCGCTCCTGACGCAGCAGAATTACCAGCACAAACAAAACTTAGGGCTGGAAAAACACGGCCGACCAGCAAAACCAGCAGCAAACTTCAAGAGGCAGTGAGGCAATAAAGTAACGCTGGTGATTTAGACGATGGCGATAGCGAGTGAGGGCAAACGAACTGCCTGTTTATGGCATTAGGATGTGGGGAACCAGAAGATCCACCGTGAAAGAAGCAGACTTGTGGACATCCCAGCTACGCCTTATCTGTTACAGCTGGACCCCCAAAATATTGTCTGTCTGTCTGTCCAGAGCCCCCCCTCCCATTGAGCCAGTCGTTGCCCTGTGCTTGCTCACCTTCTGCTCCTGGATCTGGGCTTTCACCACCTTGTACTCCGCGGAGGGAGGCTTCTGGTTGGAGATGAGCTCCTCGGTGTCCGCCAGCCAGCTCAGCAACGGCTCCAGGGCATCCTGAAACTTCCCGCAGTGCAACAGGGCCTCTTGCAGCTGGGCAACTCTTTGGGCCACCTGCACCCCAAACACAATCCCACCGCATGGTCAGGCTGGTCATGCATCGACACCGGAGCCTCAGCTCCCTGTCGATGACCCCCTTCTTCTACCAGACCCCAACGGGGCCGTGAGAAACCAGTTACAGCCCCTTCCCACGCTCTCACCTTCTTGTTGAGGGTGTTCCAGCGGGTGTTGATTTCTTCCATGTCATGCTCCAGCCCTTGGACGTCACAGTTTTTCCCGGCGCTTTGGATGAGCCCTTGACCAACTCCATTGACTTGCTGTAGTTTTAGCTGGAGAGGATCCACTTGCTCCTTCTGGAACAGCTAGGGATGGGAAGGGTGGAAGAGAAGAGGTATTTATAACCCGCGAGCTGCTCTTACAGCCCCTCCATTGTTCAATAGATACGACAGGCTTTCTTCTCTAGGGAAGATGCAGGAGCTACTTGCACTGATTTTATTAGAGTTGTGCAAGTTTGTCTAAACTCCTCCCTTGCCTTGACCCACTAACACAGATGTCGCAGGCACTCGCTGGTGTGGAGCACAGCTCAGGATCTATACGCAGCCACCTCTGCTTTTAAATGGGTAAATCCCCCTTTTCCAAGCACCGGAGTGAGGTGGAGAGAGCAAATCGGGGAAGAAATGAGAGGAGCAGCTCTGGTCAGCCATCAGATTGGGAAATAATGCTCCTGGGGAAAAACCCGAAGCAATTCTTACAGTGATGCTATTGAGAACAGAGACCTGACATCACATGAGTTTTGTTAACCACAAAATTACAGACACTGAGAAGCTAGCTGTATTTCGAAAGACAAAGGCAATAGGCAATTAATGTGCTAGTCGTTCACTGCACCGCATATTTGGCATGGTCCTGCCTGGGAATCCTGTGGGGAAAAGCTTTTTAAACCAAAAAAAATTTGATAGGGAAGGGGGAGGAGAGCGAACGAAGCTCCCATTGTAAAGAGAGGCAGCAGGGAAAATCCTGTTTCCACGAAGGAGGTAAATGCTCTTTATCAGAGCTGCGGATCTGCTGTAACCACCCGCTGACGCGGCCGCCTGTGCACGGTCCCTCTCCGGCACAGCTGGGGTGGCCGCACAGCCCGGTCCCAAGGGCCGAGCCCATTGCTTCCCCACAGCGAACAGCACAAGCCCCAAAAAAAGGGAGCGGAGTCCTTCACCGCTTGCTCTGGTCCCTTGGAGCACGAGCCCATCCAGAGCACGGGTCACCCCGCGCCCAGCGCCGGACAGGATCAGGGCCCTTGGCCCTGTCACAATATTTCCTCTTTGGGAAGCGGGGCGGATTGCAGCCAGCCGCCTGCTTTCTCAAGCGTGCCTCCTCCTCACGCGCCCGAGAATACACGGACATGGACGGCATCGAAAAATTCCCACTGGGATACAAGATCTCTCGTAGCAGAGCAGCGGCTCATGGATGGCACAGCTCGCCAGACCCAGGAATCACTTTACCTCTGAAGGAACACAAGGCAGGCAAAAAAACCCCAAACACACAAAAAAACCCCAAACACACACACACAAAAAGTTCCCGGCCTGAGCAAGAGGGGCTGCCTTGACTTTCTTTGCCCCATTTTCAAAGAAAAACCTATTTCTTCCCGACAGAGCTCAGCCACTCAAGGGCAGGGAGGTATCGCTCCAGGACACGAAGCGAAGGGTGTGCTGGCAGACATTGTCCAGAGCTGTTTGCTCAGGGAGAATTATGCCACGGTTATAAGAAATAAATGGTGACATGAAATCACCGATTCCCTGGCCGCTTCTCCCGTTACTGTTTGTATATGGAGCTGGCTGTTCGAGCAGCCAAACCCACAAAAGGACCAGGCTGATAAGTCTGGCATGCTGGGCCGGGTCCGAGCCCTCCGCACGCTTCGAAAACAAACTCCAGGGCTTCGGAGCAGCCGGGCAGGGAGGGAGCCCCGCAGAAAGCCCGGCCATCGGACCGCGGGTACCTGCAGCATGGGAAGCGGTACAGCCCCAGAGCACACTGCTGCACCAGGATCATTACAAAGATAATCATGCCAACGGCCTGAGGAGTGAGCGTGTCAAACATGCTTGTTTTTCTGGGCTCATGAAAGATTCCAGCGATTTAGTTCATTAACCTCACCGTGACTCAGCTTTGAAACAAATATTTAACGTACACCCTTTGCTGGGCAGGGAAAGGCGCAGAGCGAGGTGTCCTGCCCAGGCGAAGCGGCTGGACAGACATCTTGGCAAGCAGAAGGACATCTGCTCCACCACACCTCCTCCTCGCTCCCAGAAATGCTTCCCAAAGCATCCCCTCGCTTTCTGCTTCCCTCATCTCCCGGGCGGCCGCGCTCCTTAACCCCACCGCTGCCGAACGCGGAGCCCGGCCCCGCCGTGGGAAGAACCGGCATCGCCCCGCTGCAGACCCGGAGCTGCCAACGGCTTCAACAACATTTGAGAAGGAGAAGATTGATGGGGTTAACAACCAGAGACGCCGCAGGTAAAATAAGGGTCCCACCAGCGAGGACATGCTGACACCAAAGCAGTGAATTTCAGACAACGGCAAGAACCCAACAGCTCTTTTTCCTCGCTAAGGTCCGCACCGGTGCCCCAGCCCGCGCTCACACGGACCCCCCCATGTGAAAGCATCTCTCCAAGCCCCTCCACGTGCCATTTCTTAAATGGGTGGCACAGCCCAAAGGATGAGTAATTGCTACCGAATCGGGATTTTTGGCGCTGACTAACTTCTGATGTCTCCTTAGTGATATTTCTCCTAATCCAGATGGCAGTAAATCAGCACTCGGCTGTGGGAACTCCACCACCGAGGTCTCTCCAGGCGAAAGCCGCCAGCACGGCACGGTAAAGCAAATCCCCAAACGCCAGAGAGAATCTGAGCCCCTTCCCGCACGCGTTCAGAGCCTTGGCACCTTCTCGCTCGCTTAAAAAGCTACAGAAAGTGGTGACTGCACAGGACAGGAATTATTTGCACTTAATTTGTTTTACAGGATTCTCTCTTGGATTCTCTCTACAGGATCTGGCGAGGTTTTTCTGAAGCCTGTGATTTATGTCTGAGTGACCATAGCATACTTTAATAAGCCAAAAAAGTTTAAGACAATAGTTTAGATAATCAGCGAGTCTTATAAAAACACACAATTCCCCCCCAAACTTTTTGCCTGCCAAATTCAAGGCAGCTTTGGGAGGGAGAAGGCTGTTTCGAAACCTGAACCCCGCAGATCGTGGCTGTGAGTTACCAAGCACGGTCCCATCTCCCACCCACCCCTCAAGTGCAAAATAAAGCAATTTCTGCGCCCGAAACCCCGTCTGCGAGCGCCTGAGCAACAAATACCTCGTTATCTGGAACGAATCCATCTGGTAGAGCGGGAGGCCCTTCTGCGATGAGAGCGGTGGCGGAGGGCCCCTCCACGCCTGCAGGCACCTCGCCGGGTGCTGGGGAAGGGGGACCCCCGTGACTGGGGGGACGGAGGGCGTCCCCCAGCACAGCCCCGGTGAGGGTTTGTGCGGTGGGTGCCGTGGCGGAGGGTGCGCCCGGCGTCTCGTGCAGCTCTGGGGTGGTGGGCCCGTCCAGGAGGGGTGGGAAGGCGGAGGGGGGACCCTCTGTGCCCGGCAGCACGGAGGCACTGTCCCAAGCTGCCACCTCCGCTACGGGCACTCTCGCAATGGGGTCATCCTCCAAAGCCAGTGCTTTGATGGATAGGTGCTCCCCGATGGGCAGCACAACCATGTTGGCAAAGTCATCTGTATCCCCCAAGGCCACTACTGGCCCCCCCACTGCCAGCAGCACAGGGCCACCACCGAGATCCCTGACACCAGAGACGAGGGGGTTGGACGCTTCTGGTGGCACAGTGGCAACAGGCACATCAGCGAACGGTGGTGGGGCATCCAGAAGCTCTTCCACTGCTAAGGGCACGGCAGCGGTGGTGGTGTCTGGAGCTGGGTGCTCAACACACAGCTCCTCACCATCCGTGGTAGGATCTCCGGTGGCTGGTGGCATCTCCTGAGCCTGGGGCTCTGGGACAGCCACATCCCCCGGTGCTGACGGGTCGGCTGGAGCAGCAAGCCCCCCAACATCCCATGGGATGGCATCGGCGGGAGGCTGCCCTGCAATGGGTGACGTCCTGGGAAGCTCTTCTGGGGCAGCCGGGCTGGTAGCACGTGGGACCCCCTCACCCAGCACCACGGTACAGCACCGTGCTGCCGGCTGGTCCTCCCAGCCGCAGGCAAACAGCAAGTCCAGGTCTCCTGGCTGCAGGATGGCTGCCGGTGCCTCCCCGTGCGTGACAGCCACCCCTGCAGGGGACCCCTCGGCGTGGGCAGCCCCTTCCAGAGCCAGGCCCTGGCCCAGGGGAACCGTTTCCCACGGGAGATCCTCAGCAGGTGCCAGGGACGTTGTCGGAGCCTCGGAGCCCGGCTCTGATGCAGAGCCGGCAGGGAAAGGTGGCAGAGAACCATAGCAAGCATCCCCGCTTTCTGCCGGATGAGTCTGGCCCTCAGCTCCATCGCTCTCTGATCCCAAATCTGTGGCTTCATCCTCAGAAACCAGTTCTGGGACATCCCAGTTAGTGAGCTTTGTCCTTCCAGGCAGAAGGTGATGGGTCCCAGATGGATCCGTTCCCTCGACGCTGTCCTCGTTGTGCTGCAGGGGGGACTGAGGCTCCTCCGCTACTGTGTCAGGAGCTGAGGGCTGGCAGGGGGACACTCGGCCGGGACAGGTCTCCTCGGGGAGCTGCGATACTTCACCGTCGGGGACCAGCAAGTCTTGGTTATCTTCACCCCACCCCACTGGAGCACTGGGGTAATCAGCTCCCTCCAAGCCAGAGGCTGGGTGTGCACCCATCTCAGGAGACGGCATCCCACCAGCCACCAGCACCGCCACCGCACAACCATCCACGAGCTCCAGGTCCACCAGCGGGTCAGGTGCATCCTCCTCCACCAGTGCTGGAGAGCACTGCCGGAGGGAGCCCGGCCCCACTGCGGCCACGGGGCTGGGTGAGGCCCCTCCATCCGAGTCCGTCGGGGTGACGGCTGAGGTGTCCCTTTCTGAGAAGGGCTCTGTCGCCGGCTCCAGCGTGCTCAGCAGCTGCAGCGAGCTGCAGGTGACATCAAAGTCCTCCAGATCCGACACGACGGCAGAGTCCGAAGCGCTGATGTCCAAAGGGGCCCTATGCTGACACGCTTCAACCACTGCCCCAGCCAGCTTGGCCGAATCTGGGTCCAGCCCCTCCGAGTCCATCGGAGAGACCTGAACCTCCAGGCAGCCGGGGATGGCCCCATCGCCCTCGTCCTCATTCAGGCACTGCTCTTCCAGCTCCAGGAACATCTGCACCGAGTCCGTGTCG